AACCATGTGATTGTTTTGTGTTTTCGCAGGCAGTTTCTTGATTCGGATATGCCTAGGTATTATTTGTTTCCATTGGTTTTTTTTCCACCCACCCCCCCACCTTTCCTCTCTCCTTTCTTTCTTTCTCCCCTCTCGCCTCGGCACACTCGCTCCTGCTGCAGGCAGCACTTGGGCATCCAGTCCCCCAAACACCCCTCCACACACCCCATCCTTTACCCCCCCGGCACCTCTCGCTCACTCGGCCCCTCTCGCTGTGCCTTTGAGCCACGCTCGTGCTGGCTGCCGCTCACCCCTCGCACGCCTGCGTCTCCATCACCTCCGCTGGGGTTTCTTCTTGCTTTTTGACTTCGCTGCTCTCCCGTCTCTCCAGCATCTGGTGCCAAGCGTGCCACCCTCCTCATCGCCCCCAGCCCCAGCTTGGCCCCTGGTGCCACTTGGAGTAGCATCAGGGTTGGTGCAGACAATGGTGGGGCTTCGGGGGCACCTCTAGGCCTTGCCCAGGCAACCGGTTGACGATGGCAGCACCATCGGGCGTAGGTGTGTGACCGTACGTGGGTGTGTGTACCCAGCTGCGGCACGGACTGCAATACCCCTGTGTGACAGGGGGGAACGTCTGTTTGGGGATGAGGAGGGATTTGGCTGAGACCGCGGAATGAGTCTGGTGTGCGGTGCGTGGGCGAGAGCCACAGGACCCAGGTGCTGCCACCAGGAGCATCACCGAGGGTCCGGAGGACGGGATGTCTGGAAGATAGGGGCTGGGGGCTCCCAGGTCATCGTGGGCTCTGTAGCTTTGTGCTGTGAGATTGTCCTCCCTGCAGAACCTGGTCCTGCTCGGGGATGCCCAAGGGCAGAGCTGTCCCTCCAGAGGTACCCTGTGTCACCACCTCCCAGGGTGCAGGGGGACCGATCCAGCCCAGATCCAGCCCCCTGCTGTGGAAGCATGGGCTTGTGCAGGCATTGCCTGGGGCTCTCGGTGCGGTGATACTCTCCATGCGGACCAGGGGATGGGCCAAGAAATCATCTCCCGCTGTGTGGGTGGCAGGGGGACACCTGTTCCCCCTAACCCCAGCAGGCACCATCCAGGGAGGCTGTGCTGGGCAGGAGCTGCGTGCCCTGGGATGGCAGCGAGGACAGAGTTATGGGGTTGGGGGACACGCATATGCTCGGCCCCGCTGCTGGACTGCGAGGAAGGTGGGGGCAGAGGGTTTCCACGTCCGCCCTCACCGGGCTCCTGCTGGGCTCCAATCCAGGATCCAGCCAGGCCAGGGGTGCCGATATAGGGTGAGTCCCCCAGAGAGGGGCTGCCCTTCCCCACGGCCCCTGCGCCAGCCCCCTGCGGACGATGCTCTCTGACCTTTCGTTTCTCTGTGTGTGTACGTGTGTGTGTTTGTCCTTGGGTCGCCTTCCACTTATAGCATTTCGTTCGGAAATGACACTAGGTATTTCGTGCGCACCCGCTCGGTCTGGTCCCTCCTGCTTTTCTCTCTTTCTCCTTTGCCTCCTCCCTCTGCTTTTTGCTCTTTCCCACCTCTTCTTCTCCTCCTCCCTGGGGAGTGCTCTCTTCTCCAGCAACCTGTCTCAAAGCAATCCTTCGCCTTGGCTCTGTCTCACACAGGGGTATTTTTTATGTACTTTATACACCTTCTGAAAGCGTCGCTTGCTCTCTTCGTCCAATGCAGGGGCAATCACAGCCAAGAGCCTCTCCTGCTCTCTCTGGCTGCCCTGGCTCTTGTTAAAAGAGCCCCTCAGCTGCCTGGACGCTCCTTCAGAGCCGTGTGAACACGTTCTCATTGAGCTGTCGCTGAGCCCCGGCTTCCTGAGGATGCTCAGGCGGGAGCCAGGGCTAGGTGGCTTTGGGGAGTGAGTGTCCCTGGGAGAGAGCCCAGGAGCAGGGCAGGGGGTGAAACGGGGATTCCCTGTGCTCTCAAACTGCAGCCACCTCCTGCTTTCCCCCTCCCAGTTCCTTGACCCAAAGAGGGTGGTTGCTGCACTTGCTCTGGGTGGCTGTGCCATCCTCTATGGGCACCGAGCAAGTGGAGCTGGGTGTCCCTTCTGCCCTTTCTCCCAGTCTAGGAGCCACAGAAAACACATCAAGGGGAGCAAAGCAGCCAGGTGGGAGCGGGGATGGACGGGGCTGGCAATCAGGGCAGAGCAAGAGCTGGGAGAAGCAGCCCCACAGGGGCCAGCCCCCAAATCGTGGTCCCCAGGTCCCGCTGGGTTCAGGGCTGGCAGACAGGGGCAGCCTTAGGGAAGGGGACACGGCTGGTGGGGGAACTGCTCCCCCTGGGGGGGCTGCTGCCCCCAAGTGGGCTGGCAGCAACCCCCCAGTACTGAGTATCCTCCCTCCTTCTGGCCATCGTCACCTGAACGGTGACAGCTGCTCGTGATGGGGGCCAGGAGGTGCCACGGGCCCGGGGCTGGACGGTGGGGACCTGGCCCGGGCACGCTGGGGGTGGCAGCCCCCACTCCGAGCATGGGGTTGGGGCATGCACCCTCCTTTGCCTTCCCAGCCTGCCTGGCCTTGCCTGCACCCCAGCTGAGCCCCCACTCCTCCTGCGGTCCCCCCTCCCCAAAACCCCGGTCGCTTGGCCGTTTCTGGGGTGCCGCGTCCCGCTCCTGCCACGCCGCGTCCCCCTTTGCCTTGAGCCTGCATCCCTGGAGTGGCTGTCCCCATCCGTCCCCCCTGCGTGTGCATGTCCATGTGTCCTTGCAGGGCTGCTGCCGTGCTGCGGGGGGGGACGATGGCATCTCCTTGCTCAGTTGCTTGGCTTCCTTGGGGGGGTTGTTTTACCGGCTCTGCTATTTCTTTTTGGCAGGACTTTCTACCAGTTTGAGGCAGCGTGGGATAGCTCCATGCACAACTCACTGCTGCTCAACCGCGTCACCCCGTACCGAGAGAAAATCTACATCACCCTTTCTGCCTACATCGAGGCAAGGACCTTAACTGGGGCCGTTATAATGCCAACAGTCTGGTATCTCCCCACCCTCCCTCATCGGGGTACAGCCAGACTGACCTTAGCCAGCACTGATGCTAATAGGGCGCAGGATTCAACCTGGTGCTCAGGGGCTTAGTGGGACCCTGGAGTGGAAAACACTGGGCACCAGGGGTGGGGGGGACTCACTGGGCTGCCAGCGCCGCAGCCTCCCTGATGCATCCCCCCCTGCCTTGCTGCAGATGGAGAACTGCACGCAGCCCGCCGTCATCACCAAGGACTTCTGCATGGTCTTCTACTCTCGGGACGCCAAGCTGCCTGCCTCCCGCTCCATCCGCAACCTCTTTGGCAGCGGCAGCCTGCGGGCTTCGGAGAGGTACCGGGACGCTCCTGCTTTTCTGCAGGGGGGGGAGGAGAACCATCCCCCAGTGGGGCATCCCAGCAGCCCAGGTGAAACAACGAGGGCGTGGGGATGGGGCAGAGCCGGTAATGTCTTCATCTCCCCTTGCTCACAGCAACCGCGTGACGGGAGTCTACGAGCTCAGCCTCTGCCGTGTGGCCGATGCCGGCAGCCCAGGTGGGTGCCGTGTCTCTGCCTGGGTGCTCACCATGAGGCACGGCGTGGTATTCAGGGATCGGGGCTGTGTGTCTGTCATTGTCCCCCCAAAGCTGTGCATCTGTCCCCGCAGGCATGCAGAGGCGGCGCCGGCGCGTACTGGACACCTCTGTCGCCTACGTGCGGGGAGAGGAGAACCTGGCGGGCTGGCGGCCCCGCAGCGACAGCCTTATCCTTGACCATCAGTGGGAGCTGGAGAAACTCAGCCTCCTGCAAGAAGTAAGAGTTTGGGGATGGGAACAGGCCAAGACAGTGCGATCGGCAGCTCAGCCCCTCACTGCCCTGGTGGGACTCCCCACCCCGGGTGTCCCAGCCTTCCTGGTTTTCGGGAGGAGGTGGGAGTGGGACTGTGCTGCTGGTGCTCTCCTGTGCATCGCCGCTGGCTGGGTCCCAGCACACCAAAAGCAGATGGGGTTAATGGGGTCCCCGAAAGGATGCCAGCGGGGGAAAGGGGCCACCCCTGAGCCTGACTGCCTGTCCCAGGTGGAGAAGACAAGGCACTACCTGCTCCTGCGCGAGAAGCTGGAGACCACCCAGCGCCTGGGCCTGGAGACCCTGTCCCCCTGCTCCAGTGAGGACTCTGAGTCCCGAAGCACCTCCTGCGTCTCCTCCCCACTCTCTGTTGACGGGGCCCCTGAGGGCCGCACCTCTCCCCCTGAGACCCCCAGCGAGAGACAGAAGGAGCTGGCTGTGAAGGTACCATCCCCCACCCCCCCAGCTCCC